CAACTTCAAGGATCTTTTCTTTCCTATCAAAGCATTAATTAGGGGATTATCATGTAGTTTTGGCCCAAAATGACCTCCTTTAAAAAGGTATCAGTCTTGGGTACAAATGTCCTCCAGAGTGACTTCTTATTGTTTTAAATAGACATTGATGATACACCTTTTAGCAGGCCTCAAGGCTTTTTTACAATTTTACGGAGGGATTATGCATACCTTAGGCACTATAAATAATGATGATATGAAAAGGGAATACTTCACCCATGACCGGGATGGAATACAGCAGCTATTTAATAATGCCTGTCAATGTCAAGCAACTGTTTTAAGAGCAGGAGGGAAAAACTTCCAATGTAGCTGAAAGCACAGCAGAAATTTGGGAAGGCAGAATGTAATTCCCTAAAGGCATGGTACACAAAAGCCATCAGACTGTCAGTGAGAAAAATTATACGCGCAGTTGTTGTAACTCTGTTGGTGTCAGGGTATTAGCAAGACCAGGAGGGTGAGTTAATAGCTCTGGGTAAGCTTGAAAGCTTGTCTCTCAACAGATGTTGGTACAATGAAAGATATTACCTCCGCCGCCTGGTCTCTTCCATGAGGAAACTTGTGATATATGTACTGTCAGCACTGGACCTCTTCTGCTGCAAAGGCAGGCCATCCCACAGCAGGAGGGGAACAAGCTCCCTGAGTGACATAGTACACTGGAAAAGCTTTGTTGATTTTTGTGTCATAAGAAACATAAGAAATGAACAAAATTAATAAAAGTACAGAGAGAGATTGCACTTTAAAGAGACTCAAGCCCTGCTCTTGCAAACACCAATGCACATGCATGGATGCAGTGAGTTCTGTTGAAGTCAAGGGCACTGTTCCTGTCTGTAAAGAGAAGTACAGGCACAAAGCGTTTGTAGGACCGGGGCCTATGAGTTTTCCACAAGTGACACTATTTTTTAAACAAATGGGAGAAAAAGGCACCAACAGCCAAAAAATTAAAAAAGACTAACTAGCACTTGCCAATAACTCCGAAAGATCGTGGCTTGCGAGTGTTTCTGTCATCACCTTAGGGACCGTTGTTGCAGTCAACGCTTTAACTGAGCTATTCTATTTGCCCTGCTACCTGAAGGCCACATGCATAGCATAAATAAGGGCCTATCATGCATCCAACATGGGTGAAACTCCCATCGACTCTAGTTACTGGGTCCTAAGTGGAATAACGTATGTTTTTAGATGCTAGCAGCAGCCTCTGCAAAAAATCAAAACTACCATCCCCCTCCACCAACATTGCTCTGCTGGAGTACTGCATTCATGGGCCCAGTTCCCCATTCAGTTGCATTTCAGGCAATTGTTTACACCAATGCAAATGCTACTCACTCAGAATGCCCTCCCTGTGCAGTGGTGTGAATGCAGGCTAAAGGGAATCAGGCTTCGGTTATCTGTACCTGGTATGTAGTGCAGTGTAATACTCCCCCTCTGGAACTCTCAAATTACATTCCTGGAGCCTTGGACTTAGTATTTGTTAAAAGAATTTGAATACCCAGTGGAATTCATCCTGTAGGGATGAACTTCCAAAATCTATCTGCTGCATGTAGTTATCTGAAATTCATGGAGAGCAGATGTACGATACTCCCAACATAAGCATGAAATGGTGGATTAGCAAGCAAATGAATCTTTCACATTAAGGTGCGCATTATTATGTCCCACATCCTGCACTGCAGGTATATCTGAGGCACTCACCAAATGGTGAATTGTCCTAACAACAAGGTTTCCTGAGTCCTTGTTGTCTGTAAATTACAGCGGTATGTGTCTATCTCATCCCCAGGAGAAGGATATGATAGGAAGGATTCCAGCTGCTGCTCAGGGAGTGCTGTAGGCTTCTCTCTAGGATGGTTTCACAGCAGCCGAGTTTCATGAATCTTGCCTGACACTCATTCATCTGACAATGCGTCTTGCCTCCCCACAGCCCAGCTGAATCCTCCTGCATCAGGCTGGGCTGCAAGAATGGCCCTGTGGCTACTTCTCCCCATTGCAGTGCCTGCTCTGCAGGCAGCCAGGGGAGGAGGAGACAGCAGCAGAGCAGAGCAGGCAGAGGCAGCTGATGGAAGCAGGGCAGAAGGGGGCACAGTACTGGCCTCAAGCTCCTCTATCCTGTGCCCAGCTGATTGCCATCTTCTTTCTCATCCTCCTAGGCACCCAGCAACAGTACCCCAGATATCCTGGCACCCAGCCACCTAACCATCCACCCCAACCACCTTCTAGCACCAACCTAGCACCCACCCATGTAACCCAGAATCCCCAATCATCCCAGCATTCACCGACATCAGCCATAGCTGCCCAGTTTTGTGAAGTCCCATGGCTTTTGCTCAGTGCTGCTAGGGACCGGGTGTGTGGAATGCTATCGGTGCCACTCTTTCATCCATGAGAAACATTGCAGCTTAGATAGCTTTCAAACCAGCAATTACTCATTGGCAATTACCTTTAAGGAAAAGCTAATTTTCTTTTCTGTTAAATTAAAAACACTGTTTAATTACATGGGAATTTATGAGAAACCTGCTTCTTGGTGGGACAGGAACTGAGCACTAGTAATCATTTTAAAAGCAGCATTTGCTGTGGGACAGTAATAGGAATACTGTAGTAGCATCCTCTTGTAGGGCTCTAGTCACTAGGGCACTGATTCAGCAAAGCACTTAGGCACATGCTTCAATCCATCCCCATTCAGGAACGAACTTAAGCACCTCAGTGGGAGTTAAGCATGTACTTCAAGACAAACACATGGTTACGTGCTTTTCTGGATAAGGATGGTTTGCTGAATTGGGACTTAGCAGCTAGGGCCATCACTTACTGTGATAAATGGCCTCCCAGGCCTAGGAGAATAGGCATCTTCATGATACCAAATAGTAACATGGGACTGTAAAAGGTTCTTCAATGGGAATCCAGCTTTGGGGATGCACAGTGATCAATGTTTATATAAAAGCATAGGATTTCTGATTATAAAACCATTCTGTAAATCAAGGCACTCATTGGAAAAAAGAGAGGTGCCTAATCTGACATTTTAAAATTAAAAAGCATCATTGGGAGCTTTAAAAGACATCCTGGTGAAATGAAATAGTGTCTATTCAGTAGAAATGCTAGCTTGCTCATTCCCTGTTCACACCCTGCTACCCTCCCTTTGGTTAGCCATGCCTGTTTGATTAACTTGTACTGTATAGCAAAGAGCCAGGATAAATTTTTCAAAACCCCTAAGACCTATTTTCAAAAGTTACTTATGTAATTGACCTTCAGTGAGATTTAGGCTCCTAAATCAATTAGGCATTTTTGACAGTTTGACTTCAACTTAAAAAAGGAGACACAAATTACAGAGTTGGCCTTATTAGCTGACTTTTAATTACACAGAAACTACCAATGTGTGTATGAGTTTCCTCCGGGAGTGTGGAGCAAAAGCACATTGAATAATCAGGTATTTTGTTCCTCAAACATCAGTTCTGTTCACAGGAACACATAAGTTTAGACTGGTGTATTCTGCCAATTACTGGACAATCTATAGAAAAATGTAATTGACAATTATGCAATCTAAGCAAAAAGGGAAAGAATTAAAAGTAACTGTTCATTTTATTGTATGGTCACTGCTGTACAACAAAGTTCTCAGTGTAATATGCAATGCACACAATATATTTTTCTATCAAACAAGCTCTTTGAATCCACAACCTGTCAGGCACACATTACTAATGAGGCAATAAAGGAATCTTCTTGCATTTATATTGCATGTATATGGCACCTGTCATGTTGGAAGATAATGCATTTTACCAGATTCATCTGTATGTAAATTAGTATTGATAATTAGTAGGTTAGTCTTGAAGGAAAGTGGGGCATTAGCATGAAAAGAAACCAAGGGAGACTAAAAGATAAAGCAGCCCTCTTCCCCCTTCCCCATTTCATCTTACAACATCTGGCAACTTCTTATATCCTCCTGCTGGTTACTTTTTCTAGTAATAACTCTTATTTTTGCCCTCTTGATACGTAACTAATACCCGCTTACATTGACTTACACTGCTGTGAGCTGCCTTTCTGATGTTTACTGCCATTTATAGGGAAACTTGCAAAAGTCCTATTGACACTTTCAATGACACTTGTGCTCCTAAATCCTTTAGGCAGCTGCCACATTACCTCTGAATTTGGCTCTATGACTTAAAAAGGAATCATACCAACTACCAATAAAATGTACAGTTACCTCTGACATGACAGCTACTTAATGCACTGCAATATTATAATACCAATAATAGCTAATAACACACTGACATCTAAATAAAACGTTCCATCTGATGTCACAGTGTTTCACACTGTCTCAGCCTCTCAACTAGAACTGAGTGGATTTTTTGGCTGAAGTTATTTTGGGCAAATTTTGGCAAAAATGCAAATTCAGTAACATTGAAATGTTTAACAAATTCACGTCAGTGTCACTGATTTGTTTGTTTAGAAAACAAACAAGCAAAAAGCAATGCTTACAAAAATCAAAATATTTTGATTTTTTCAGTTTGAAAGAACTTTTCATTTCAAAATTTCTTTCGATTTATTTTTAACAAAACCAAACATGTCTGAAAATGGTCAACGTGGATTTATTCAAAACTAAATGTTTTAATTGCCCTGAAATAATATTTTTCTTCACTTTTCTAAATAGTCAACAAACCAAAAAAAGCCGTTATTTGTCCAGCTCTACCCTTACCAGTAAAGTATTATCCCCAGGTGATATGGGGAGAAACTGAGGCACAGAGAAGCTCAGAGACTTACCCAAGGTCACCCAAGAAGTCTTTTTCCCAGAATGCAGATCTCCAGACTCCTGGGCCAGATCCTGCTGCCTTTGTTTATGTGCGTAATCCTTGCTGGCTCGGGACCCTAATCCTGTGCCTTAAACTCAAAACCAGCCTTTCTCTGTACTACAATAACAACAACAAACCATAGGACAGGAAGAGAAAGAAAATGCAAGTAGAAGTAATAGCTAACAAATGTTCTTTACTCACAGTACTCCAAGTATGTCAGGGTCTGCAGTTTTACATCTTATCTGGAAGACAGCACCTGCAGCAGCATGAGGCCCCTTGCCACCGTTCTGGGCCATTTGGTTCAGTATTTACTCAGAGGAAGGAGTGTGTGTACCTTTTATTTCAGTGGTCTGACTAGAGCGGTCTGGCATTTTGTTTTGGCTGTACTCGGGCAGACTTCATTCACAAATGGAGTAAGGTTCACAGCATGAAATTAAAAGGCAGAATATTCGGCATGTAGGACAGAATGATAATTGCTGACAAGAAGAGGTCTGAAAACCCTTTAAGGCACATCAGACTGGAGAAATGGTTTCCATGACAACAAAGCCACAAAAATCGTTGCCTTCATATTGATTCTGGAGATGGAGGAACCAGTGGGGGGAAGGGGGGAATGTTTTCATATTGAAGGATTAGAGCTTTTTATTTAAATAATAATTCCAGGACGAGGTTTTTGTTAAGGAAATTCCTAACTCAAATCCAAATAGCTATACCCAATGCAAGCAGTTGCCCTGTTTGATTCAGATTGGGATGCATTCTGTTAATTGTGCACATTGGGGTAAATCCTGCACTGCAACCTGGGAGGTGTGTGCAGGGGTCTTTCCCCTGCAAAAGCTGGGAATGTGATTTACCCAAACAGTGTTGGTGGTGTACATCCCAATGCGGCACAGAGCTCGGTTCAGTGCGGGTTCGCTGAGCAGTAAATTCATCAGACGGCATATTTGGAGAGGGGCAGGAATGAGTTAGGTCTGCACTAGTCAGTGGGATGGAGAAGCCTCAGCATAGTAGCTCCTCTGCCAGACCGAGGTATCAAGAGGAGAATTCCTTCTTTTTCTCATTGTGTCTATCTGAGGGATTTCTGTAGCTCTCATCATTGTAATAATTGACCCCCCTCCCCCATGGATCTCCCTAGCACCCAGCCAAGATACTAGTGCTGGGGTGTGGATTTGCCCTATTATGCTGTTATAAAAGCTAATATAATAGCTATTATTAGAAGTGACTTAGGGACACATATGACTTTTAAAGAACGTTATGCTCCTAAGTCACTTAGGCACTGTTGGAAACTCCGTAACAAACCCCAGCATTCACTGCAGCACTGTATTGTATACTTCATGCAATCTGAAAACTGTGTGTGATAGCTAATGACACAAGTAGGAACAGGAAGCATGGTGTCTGTCTCAGTTCTGAGTACCATAAGAATAAAAAAATACTTAAGCTTACAGACATCAGTCAGCCGCCCCTCTGAAAATAGAAGGAAACCTCCACTGAGAAAGTTATGAAATTGGGCAAGGGAAAAAGAAATGTAAGACTAATCATACAAGTTTATGATATGTGCTGCTCACATGCTCTAGAGTTCAGTGACAAACACCAGCAGACAAAAGAGAGAGAAAGATTTTGTATAGTACTGAAGTACCCCAGGGTGACTTGAAAGGTAATGCAAGAATTAACTCTTTCAGGTGGCCCGCTGACCAGTGCTCACTTGTGTCAATAACATTCCTGAAACAAGATCATTTAAATAATTGAGGCCCCGATTCAGGAAGATGCTTAAGTACTTACCTACTTTTGAGCATTTGAGTAGTCCATTAAAGACTGACATGTACTTAAGTCACTTGCTAAACTGAGGCCTGAAATCAGATCCTGGAGTCAAGAAGAAGGCCCAAAAGCACAGCCCAAATAAATCCAAGAATGGTGAAATTCAAAGAGGCAAGATGTTACCTACAGCTGTATGTGTTAATAAATACTGAACACATCTTCAGTGGTATAGTGACCCGACTGCAGCTGCCTTTGGAATCTTGTCTGTTGTTTGATCTGTAATTGGACTTCTTTATAATATTACATTTTTCCTCCTGGCCCTGCACTTTTATTTTAAAATAGTAGTTCCATTCTGAAACAATTGGGGAAATGTTTTATGTGAGTGGTGCTATATTACCAAACTCTACAAGCATGTTTCCTCTGTGGGACAAAAACACATATCTAGGGTAAGCAGTAAATTAAATACGTAACTACATTTCTAAAAGAATCGTTTAATTATGTTCATCTACCATTCAGTCACGGGTTCTCTGCAAGTGGCAAAATCCATATTCTGAGTCCTCTTGATGATGATTTGTCTCCTTTATTCTTCTTTGTATACAATATGCTGTACGCTAGATGGGCATTTGCTTACTAATAAGCAAGTTATATGAATTCCATGGCACTTTTTTCCACTTATTCTATCTAACACATTATTTTATACTCTGAAGTCCTCCTTGTAACTGTATGCATTACTGAAAAGAGCTTCAATTTATGACCAAGATAACAATGACATTTTCCCCATAAATTCTAAGGCCAGAAGTCTGATCTCCTGCATTACACAGGCCATAGAACTTCCCCAAAATAATTCCCAGAGCATATCTTTTAGGGAAAAAAAACAATTTTCATTTAAACATATAGTCTCTCTCCTTAAAAAAATTGTCCTGGAATTTTCAGCTAATCAAACAATGTATCAGGCTGCAAGTCATTGGGCAAAAGTGTTATAATTCTATGAAAGTGTTAATGTTCTGATTTCACTTACATTTAGTAGGTCAACTTGAATTCCACAGTCCTGTCACCTAAACAGCAAATGGAAGGCCAGTTATATCTATTAAGAAACCAGTGCTCACAGCAATTAAATCTCTGCTTATTGTCAATTGATGTAGTTATTTTCCTTGTTGAACTTGTGTGGTAAAATAGTGATATAAATGGAAATGTGGCTTGTTTCATTTTAACAGAATTTCTGGAAGCCACTGAAGGAGCGAACAGAAGGTACCAGCCCATAAACAGTTACAAAGCGGCAATTTGCTTTTTTCACCACAGTGAGGCACCAGCCAATCAACTCTTTGTTTCAAAATGGAGCACATGCTGCTAATTATAATACAAACAACCCCGCTTTCATTTGGGGATCTCACCGTGCTCTATAAAGTATTAACTGATTAACCCTCTCAACTGCTCTGTGCAATAGTCACAATATTACTCCCATTTTAAAGGGGGTGGGTGGGAAGAAATAGACAAGCAAAGTGACTTGCTGGAGGACACGTAGGTGAAAGCAGTGCACTGCTACTGACTCACTTATTTAGAGCAGTCAGTAATTAGATGGAGGATGATAGGCTTCTTATGGGTGGAATTAAGTGCCTTAGTTGTGCACAGACCTTTCACTGGCTTTCTGCACGGGAGGAATTTCCCCCGAAAGAAACAACATTTGAATAAACTTTTGTGTTTTAGGCTTTGAGATCCAGGGCTAGCTCCTTGGCTTCTGTAAACTGGCCCAGGACTCTTGGAGTCATTGGATCCATGCCAGTTGACACCCAAAGTATTTAATAGTGATTAGACAATTACACGCAGCACAAATCACCAAATGTCCCCAGTGAGAATAAACAGGAATCAATGGGGCTTATTTGATGCATGAGCAAAGCAGGCTACATTCACCACAGCAAGGAACTGTGTGTGACCCTTTCCTGGGGCTCAGCAGCAGGTGTACATTGGAGTTAATTAGGATGGGACACTTAGTCAGTTGTTTTGCGGGAGCTTATTAATCTTATGTTACGCTCGCTATTGGAGCTGACTGAGGAAATCAAACATCCCATTAATAACTTTATTCATCTCCATTTATAACAATAAGACTTAGCACTTAGGAAGCACCTTTTTGCAGCTTTGAAGCACTTTACAGACATTTAACTAACGAAGGCCTGTACTCCTCAGTCTCCCTGCTCGTGGCAGGAGAGAGGAAAACAAGTATTATAACCCTTATTTTACAGTTATAAAGCTGAGTCTCAAAGACTTGCTTGTGTGGCTAGATGCAATTAGCTGAGCCTGAATAGCTCCTGACTTCCAGTCCTGTGTTCAATACATTGGACTACACTGCCTCTCTATGGGTCTGTGCTTGGACTAGCAAACCCCAGCTGGCTCAGGAAACAGGAGCAGTGAAGACAGCACAGCACAGGCATCAGAGCAAATTAGCAAGCTGTGCTGGGCTTGTACAGCACACAGCGAAGCCTGTGCCGAGATCTCTTCATTGCTATTGTTACCCAGGCCAGCTGGATTCAAGGTGGCTAGGTAGGCTAGCCCGTGCACAGCTTTTGCTGTGCAGACATTACCTAATGGTGTAGGACTCTATTTGTCAATAATTTGAAGTCCATGATGTGAAGGAGTCTGCTGTATTCACTCAACAGAGCAGCTTTATTATCCTAAAATTATTAGTAAAATATATTGATTTGTGGAAAAGAAACATTAGATTTCCATTTACTACCACGGACAAAGTAAGTATTTCTAAGCAAATAGAGGACCAAGTTCTGCCCCCAGGGGTCAGCACAGAATGCCATTGGCACAAGGGAGTTCTTAGCCAACAAAGATGGTAGAGCTATCTCCTGCACCAATCACCCTTGCTGAGTGTCTTGTGGGGTGGGGGCATGTTCAGGGAAGAAGAGTGTGAGTAGAAGGCATGGTGTATGTTAGATCAGCCTCTAGGCTGTTTGCCCTTATGCTGAGGCTGCTGCAAACTAGCGACCCAAATCAGGGAGCTGGCAGTCTGGCACCCCCTCCCTGCACATGCACTGAGCAGAGGAGAACCTAGAGCCTATATCTTTTCAGAGACAGTTATGAATTACTGACCTTATTAAAGAAAACATCTGACAAGGGGCCGGACCCTGCAAACACTTGCTCTCACACGTAGTTTTTAATCAGGCTGGTAGATCCAATGACTGGGAGTATTCACCTGAGTAAGAACTAATCAAAAGTAACAATTTGCATAATCAGGCTTTTGGATGCTCTTTCTGCTGATAGTGACACTTCTGGGCATGCTGTGGCAAATACAGATATTCCATTGTGGTTGTACTTGGAGGGCATGTGTTCTGTTTTTGAGGGTTACCTGAGATACAAGCAGGTAATGAGGTTTATGGCCATTAGCTCTTCAGTGGAATCCTCTGCTGGGTGATCACACAATAGCCAGCTTAAGTGTGCGGTAGAGTTTCATTTTCATGATCACAGTATTGTATATAAAATTACTGTGTAAGAGGAGGTGCCGTGTTATCTTGTTGGAGCTGCTCACCACTTGTTAGCCCCTCACTATTATTAATAACAATTAAGATAATTCTACATCTTGTCAAGAGTTTCCAGATTAGGTGCAAATGTATCTATCTGTGTACAAGGCCACATTGGAAACATATGGTTCAATGGTGCAAGACAA